TGCAAATACCAAAAAAGGACTATTGCTAATACTATGGTGAAAAATTGTTTTTGTGAAGAGAAAGAGAAACTCCCTCCCCCTAAAGAAAATCTGAACAGTCTTCCAGAGTGACCGTACCATTTTGTATCCTCTCAAGCAACAGAGAAGGTACTTGCTATTTTCTATGTGTCACCAGCACCTGCTGCTGCTGCTGATTTGTGACTTTGCTATAATGGTAGGTGTGTAGTGATATCTCCCTATCTAGAACATATTTCTTTGACGTCATGGCTTTATTTGTGCTAGGCTCTGAATGTTTGTGTTTTCCTACAGTCCAACTATTAATGATCTAATCACCAATGTGGTGGGCATTGGAGACTGTGCCTTTAGGTGATAAGAGCATCTTTAGAGGTGATAAGAGGTAGCAAGAGGATTTTGTCCTCTTGAATTTTACCAGTGACTTTAAAATAACCCCAAGAAAGCTTGCCTGAGCCTCATACCATGTGACAAAGAAGATCCCATCATCTATGAGCCAGAAAGCAGGCCTTCACCCATCAGTTAGTGCATTGCCTCCCTGCCTCAAGAACTGAGAAATGTCAAGAAATATAATTCATACCTCAAAAGGAATAAGAGTTGTTTTATCCTGGAGCCAAATGTAGGAGACCACAGCTTGAGAACAGGGATTGATGTTACCCACACAAACCATGTTCCCACATGGTAGCAGTTTCATGAATATAGATCAAGATACTTTCCAAATATGTTGATAGGAAGCTCAGGGAGGCAGCTTGCAGCAGAGCTAAGAGGACTTTCTGACAGGTCCCAGGCACTATCTGATGACATTCTTAGCCTTTAGATTAGTGGAAGTTGGGAGTCTGTCTAGGAATTTCAAAAAGTGTTCATGGAATTGTATTTAATGCCTTGCTTGTTCTTTGACTATTTGTGTTTATTGTCTTGCTTGTTCCTTGACTATTTGCATCTATTGTATTGCTAGATCCTCAACCTAGAACTGACTTTAATACATGCATGTAATTAAAATGATATAAAAGCAAAAAGAGGAGGGGGAATGGGATAGGAGTTCTAGGGAGGGGAAATGGGGAAAGGGGATGACATCTGAAATGTAAATAAATAAAATATCCAATAAAAAACAAAACAAAAAAAGGAATTCCAAAATTATTTACTTATTATTCACAAGGATGCCAAGTCACACAGAGATGAAGAATAAATCCAACAAGGCATGACAGTCTACTTATTTGCAACTAGTCAATCGTCTGTGTTACTGTGACACATTGTATCTTTCTATACTGCACAGCCCTCCTTTTGCATGCAGAATGGCAGAGGGATGCTCATGGGTCACTTTGACATTTCTCCAGTGGCTTTTTTGGGAACAGTTCCCTCTCTCCCTCGTGCTGAGTCCCTGTACAAAGGGAACCTCACTGTTCCCCAGGGTGTCCTTCATCCAATATACAAGTCCCATGGTAACGACATATGACACTTCTGAAACAGGAAGCAAGGGCTCACAGTTATAGGCCTGTTGTTTCCTCTTGGACACTTGATAGTATGCTAATGGATTGCTTCTTTGTTCAGACTATGGTGAGCTTCACTTTGTGTTTCTTGAGGTCACAGGAGACGGGGGTTGTACAGGGAAATGGAAGGGGAACTGTTAAGAAACATGGTTAAACCCACAAGCGGATAAAGGAGGCATTATAGGGAACCCAGAGAGAAAACACACAGGCAGGTCGTTCACACATCATTTCTATGGAAACTCCGTCCTCACTGGGTTGGAATTCTGAGGTTCCTAATTCCTTCACAAACCCATCCCCCAGCTCCCGAGGAGTCTCTGTGTTTAATCCAGCTTCCAAACCTTGCTGACAACAGGATGATGATAATACATGCATGTCGGATGCCTTGCCTTTTTAATGTGTCAATTGGAGTCATTAAGTGCTGTAGGCAGAAGATGAACGTGCAATTTAGGGAGAAGCTCACATCTAACGACCGGCTTAATTAATACAGGGAGGGGTTTATGCAGCAGTAAAGTGATTTATTCCTTCCTTACTTCAGTAATGCATTTTGCAGGCTTTCTTCTCTCCAAGCTCAGGGGATTCAAGGGTAAGTGGGTGGGGCAGGGATAGGGTGAGCCCACTGTCACCTCAGCATTCAAGGACTCAGATGGACCCTTTGTCCCAGACCTTCTGCTTCAGTTTCTAATTCTTATGGCTTACACACTGTTAGCACTGTGTGCTTCACACATGATTCTGTCTATGAGGCTGTTAGGTTTCCTTCCATCCTTCCTTCCTTACCTCCCTCCTTTCTTCCCTCCCTTCCTCCCTCCTCCCCTCCCTCCCTCCCTCCCTCTCTCTCTTTCTATAAAAGATCACATGTATCTTAGCCTGTAGATGGGGACAACCCTGAATTCCTGACTCCATTTTTCAAGTGCTGGGATTGTGCTGTCATGTCTTGTTTTTTTGAGTTGCTGGGGGTGGAACACAGAGATTTCTGCATGCTAGATGGGGACTAATCCTGAGCCACCACATCCCTAATTACCTTCCTCATCACTGTCACTTAGTGAGTATGTGTGTGCATGTGCAAGTGTGTGTATGTAATATATGTACAAACATATGTACACACACGCAGAGGCCAGAGGAGGGTGCTTTGTACCCTTAACATCTTCACTTTGCTTGTTTGTTCAAGGCAAAGTCTCTCACTGACATGAAGCATACAGGCAGGATAGGCAGGCTGATCAATGAGCTCCTGGGATCCTTTATCTCTGCTGGCTCCCTTCTACCAGAAATGCTGGGTTCATAGGCACACGTATCCATACACACACACACACACACACACACACACACACACACACATATTGCATGTGGGTACTAGTGATTTGAACTTAGCTTTGCCGGGCTTTCACAGCAAATGCTCTTACCCAGAGCACCATCTCCCCAGCCCACCAAGCCCCTTATTTCTCAATGACTGTCTTTCTGGACTGTCAGAGCACATCTTGGTGCTGTAATCACCCCTATCTTGATGAGATGTTGAAAGGACATGGGCTCCTTCTAGATAAGAAGATGATTATCATTATAAAGTTTCAGATCAGAATATAAGCCAGGAGGATAGGCTCTGAAGCAATTATCACTTAATGACGGACACTGCCATGCTTGATCCTCTTCTCTTTTGGTCTCTAACTATCTTCTATTTCTCATATGCTCCCTTCTGTGTGTCTAGGCATGTGCTACTGCCTATTTCTTTACCTTTTAGGATTAGAATCTCAACTGCACCCCCCAACAAGCTCATGCTTTTTTCTTTTTAATTTTTTATTGGTTCGTTGTAAATTTCACATCATGTACCCCAATCCCACTCATTTCCCCCTCCCCTTGTACCTGCCTTTCACCCTTATAACCTCCCTACCAACACAGGAAAAAAAAATCTCACCATGGAAGCCATAGTGTGTCAGAGTGCATCCCACAGTATACTCTTTGTCCACATGTCTTTGCTTGCAAACGTTCATTGCAATGACCTGTTGGTCTGATTCTAGGTCCCTGGCTTCTGCTACTCTATCAGCACTAGAACCTTCCTGGGACTCCTCTCAGATATCCTGTTGTTGCCCTGTGTCATGAAGATCCTGTAGTTTTGGATCTGCAGAATCCTTCATGCATCCTGGAAGTTCATCAATGGAGTTGATATAGGACTGAGGAAGGAGGGAAGGGTGTCTCTCCTTCTTCTGCACCACCACTCACCAGACAAGAGGCAGGGCCACCTCTCCTGCACTCATGTCCTCGGGGGCCTGTTCACCTGCAAATCCCCACATCCAGGGCCAGCTCTACCTACTATGCTGCCTAGGTGAGATGCATGGCCAGCTCTCCTGCCTGCTGAAGTGGAAAGGGGTGAGGGCATCTCTCCCTTGCTTTCACTGCCATATGGCAGACAAGTTGTAGGGCCAGTTCTCCCATGCTCACACCCCTGAGGCTGGCTCACCCACACCTCCTCTATTAAGGTTAGCTCGACTGCAATGCCCAGGTGGGGTCCAGGGCCTGCTCTCCTGAGTGCTACAGCAGAAGAGGGGCAGGGACAGCTCTTCTGCTCTCATGACTCCAGGGACAGGTCTCTTCCCTGCCAAAGGTGGTGAGGGGGAGGGGCAAGGAGAGATGAGGGTATCTCTCCCTTGTCCACACCACTGTGTGAGAGATGAATGGAAGAGACAGCTCTTCCACACTCATATCCTTGGGGCCAGCTCATCCATAACTCCTACAATGTGTAGGGCCCCCTCTCCTAAGTATTGCTGAGGGAGCTGGCTGAGGGTGTGGTCAGCTCCCTTGCTCTCCTGCTTCCGGGCCAGCTCTCCCACAATGCCCAGGGGAGAGGTGGGGCCAGTTCTACACAGCTTTCAAATATCAACTTGTTCTTGGGTAGTAAGCCAGACTAGGGATGTCCACCTGGCCCTTGGTGTTAACAGATCCCTACTGCTGCAGGGACACTGATGTAGATGCGGTCCCTGGTGGCAGCATAGGCCGGGGCCCCCACCATGGTCCCAGTTGGCATCAGCTGTTCCTCATTACCCTTGAGCTTCCAGTTCTGCCTCTCTTCATTGTGCCACATCTTTCTGTTTCTCTTTCTCTTTAATTTCTCCACAATTTACTGGGTCCTCTTAATGACATCAATGGTCTCTGAGTGTCTGGCATTGCCTCAGGAGTGGTCTTAGGAGTGCTATGCCCCACCTATGCATTATGGCACTGGGCAGGGGTCATCTTGTGTATGGTCTGCCCACTCCTAGGCCTGTGTACTGCTGAACTGGTGGTCATCTCAGGCTAGCTTCCTGTCTGGGCTCCATGACACTTGTCTGTTGGTTGTCTTGGGCTTGCTCCTCACCCAGGCTCACTTGAGTGGCTATCTTGGGCTTACTCTTGCCTGGGACCCACAGTCCCAGGTGGGGTTCTTTTAGTCTCTGGCTTGTTCCCCATCCTGGCCTGGGAACTCATCCTGGCTTGACTGCTGCCAGACTGGTGGTCATCTCAGGTTTGCTTTACTCAGGGAATGTTAAGCCACTAATCATTCCAATGTTTATAGATCAGAACACTGAGCATAGACATAGCCTGTCCTCTCTGCCACCTACGGACACACATGACACAGCAACCACACCAGCAATGCCTCTAGGGGCAGGTTCTTTTTTTAAGCTCATGTTCTAAATGCTTGTCTCCCAGTTTATATTACTTTGAATCTGTAGAGCTTCTAGGCAGGTGGAGCTTGGTTGGTGGGGAGTGAGTTCTGGGGAGGGAGCTTTGAAGGTTGGAGTTCCTCTTGCTCCTGGATGTTATCTCTGCTTCTTAGCCCACTGGTGTGTGAGGTACATCCTCTGAAAGCTCCCACCTACATGAACAGAGCCACACAGTCCTGTTTTGATCAACTGAATGCCTTGAAAATAAACTCTTGTGTTGTTTCTGCCAAGTGTTCAGGTTACTGAGAGGTAAATGTAGACTGACCTATCATCTTTTTAAATTTTATTTTATCTTATGTTCAAACTTCACATCTTAGTGTTCAGAGCTAAGCTTAAGTTTCAGCCTTTCATTGGAAATGCTATGACCTCTGTGGAGTTGTGTGCTTTCATAGTTCTCCAGTTGTAAGTTGCTTCCACATCTCGTTGACATTGTTTCATGTCACACATGTATGGCTCAGGGCCGCACTTTGTTTCAGGCACCCTTGGAGGCACCGAGAATGTACACAGGGATAAAATGTATGAACTGGTTGTTGTATGACAAAATTTTTTAGTGGGGAGGTACAACAAACACAGGTGCTCACCCCTGATAAAGAACCTATGACAGACCAAAATATGGATACCACCAAAGATCACTTTGGTGAACCAATGACTTTTATTGGGGCTAATTATAGGAATATGGATGAAGGGATTGTTTACAGGAGCAGACATGACACAAAAATAGATGATCACAAAAGCCCACCTCAGAATGGGTGACAACTCACAAAATCTGGAAGCCTGGAGCACACTGCACAGCCTACAGGCGGCTTAACTGGTTGGAGAGTGTCAGTTCCAGGTGCCTTAGTTGATCTGAGCCCCTTCCAGGTAGCTTGTCTGTTTTCTGTTTCTTCCAGGCAGCTGTCTGGTCTCAGAGTCGTCTTCTCAGCTCAGCTTATCTCAGTCTTTTAGGAAACTCTGCACAATTTGTCTGAGAGAGACCCTCAGCTTTCATTGCTTACTCTGGTAGAGAGGGACCAGTAAATCTGGTCAGTTTCAGGGACTTCCTGAAGTTACATTGAGCTATTTACCTCCCTGCTTTAAATGCACCTCTGTAGGATGGAATGTTTCACTTTTAGAGGAAACTGTTATGCAACACTGGTAAGCCAACAGTGACAGTCCCCCTCCCCAGCAGAAAAGAGACAATGGAGCATAATGATAAATGTTGCAGAGATTGCTTGTTGGTGTACATTTTGGGGGGCTATTTTATTTGGGTTCTTATACCCATCTTTCTCCATCCCAATCCTTTCCAACTCTCCATCACTAGATAGGAGAGAAAGAAGGTTAGAGGGGAAAGGAGGCACAGATCTCTTACTTCCTGCTGACTAAGGGCTTCTGGTTCCTTGGAACAAGTCCAGTCTCTGTAGTCAGGATGTCTCCAACCAGCAACCTAGCAGCCCAGCAATCCAGAAGTAGCAAAAGCAGCAGCAGGGACCAGCAGCAACCAGGGCAGGAACAGTGGGGCAGCAGTAGCCCCCAAGGGCCCTCATGGGGCTTTTGCATTTATACCTTCTCAGTTCTCAGAATTCCAAACATAAACTCTCTGCAGCTAGCAAAAATCTTGCCCCTCCTAGAGCAAATGATAGTGAGGAGGCTGGGCAGCCAGCACCAGCCTCAGCACTTCCCCTCGCCTCAGCACTCCCTAGGCTCACAAAAGCTCCCCTTCACCCCCTTGCTCCTTTCCACCACCTGACCCTTCTAAGGAGGCACAGCCCAGCACAGTTCCCATTCCAATAGCACTCCCTAATGCAAACTCCCTCCTGGGAACGGCAAATGCCAGCCTGAGAACAGATAAACAGTCACAACTCCCAGCCCTCATGTCGCCAAGGCTGGCACCCTCTCTGATGGATAACTAGACACTCCCCAGCGCAGGTGGGCCCTGTCCTTGGGAGAAGTGGAAAAACGACACATCCTTAGAGAAATAAAGCGCCATATTTTGGGGGCAATCAAGCGTTCCCAGACAGCTATGACTGGTTTGTAAAAACACTTGATACCACCTTAAAGGCCAAAAGAGCTTCCCTCTCCAATTGTGTGACTCCACCAGCCACCTAAACAGATGGTATTGTGTTTAAAAAAATGACTTCCTTTATTGGTTTCCTTGTCATATAACTCTCTGAAACCACAGAATCTATTTGTGTATAAATGCCCTAAGCTCCTAGACACAGGATCACAATCTTGCCCTGTGCAGTGGAACTGGGTTTGAATTTATTAAAAGGCTCTTTGTCTCACTACATAGGATAAAGCAATTCTTTGAGCTCTCCTGGGGATCCTGAGACCTGGGCATAACAATAGTCAGTAGCTGTGGAGAATCTGAAGCAGCCCCATTTCCTAAAACTGGAACTAAAACAAAAACATTCATATAATTTAACTGGAGTTTTAAAAGAAACCAAAATTCCCACTTACAATTGCTTCTGAGAAAAAGGAAACATTTGCATTGGCACCTAAAAGGATGAAACTATGGGAAGATCCCTGGGAAAATAAGAGCAAGAATTTTGTGACTGGAGTAACTTGTTGTGTCCAAGAACAGATATCAACTCTGTAGTGGCCAGAGCATAGCCAGACAAGGCTTAGTGGTACGTGGTGGGCAAGGACCCAGAGATAGAGCACCTTATTCACCAGAATCAGACGTAAGAGAGTTTAAGGTACAGAATTGGTGGATCTCATTTTTCTCTGTGAAGATTGGGCTGAGGTGAGAACACAGAAACTTCAAAATATCTTCCATTCACAGCAGTGAATGCTGTTGTTTCCAGGCAGATCCCCTGAGCCAAGAGTTAGTCATTTAGGCTCTGTGTGTTGTAAGCTTATTTATTTAGCTGGGGACATTTTCAAGCCATAGGTATTCCCACCCTGTTGATATGCTGTGCAGAGCACCCCAATTGAAGAAATATTAAATGGGAACAAATGTGACATTGTATGTGGAAACCCTTAGCCTTGTTTCTGCACTGGCTAAGAATGCAACAAACATATAACACAATTTGAGCTCTTGGAATGCAAATTCCAGGAAATTCCATGGACAGATGGAACAACAGTCCGGGCTCCTACGTACAAACCACGAAAAAAAGCAAGGAAAATGCTAACCAAAATTGTTCACATTCTTCCTATTGGTAAACAGTGCAAAGAACAAAAAATCCAAAGGAGGACTAGACACTGCCTTCCTAGGCAGCCTACCTGTGAGAGGTGGGTCTGAGAAAGCAGACAGGGCTGGAGACGTTGAGAGTAATATTGTATGATTTTGAATACCTATGGAAGAACCAGGCAGAGAAGATTGACTAGACTAGAAAGTCGATAATAGCTAAAATTCATGACAGAACATAAAGGAACTTGGCCTTAACTAGGAAGAAGGGAGTTGCTGTAGTAGATTTTGGGAAGGTTATAGTTGGAGGTAGGCTGTAGCCTTGGATGTAGATGGTGGGCAATCAGAAGAGAGCCAACTTGTTGTGTGAGGATAGAGGGGAGGCTGTCTGCTGACAATGAGGGAGTATACAAGGCTGGTTGGTTTGGCTGCAAAGGACATCAGTGCTTCACCGAGTAAACTGAGAGAAAGGATTGGGCAGACGTGTCTAGCAGTGGGAGCTCGAACTGTACTGAACACCTGGCGAGCTTAGAATCAAGACTTGGTTGCTCAGTGTGGTCACATGGTCTAAAGTACCACAGTTCTTCTACTTCTTAATCACTTCATAAGAACACACAAAACAGTGACCAAAGTGCTTTGCCTCAATGACATTAAAACTCTAGACACACTTCAGTAACTTTTGTCTTCCAGATCACAAATTTCAGTCTTCAGTTATTTTTGATAATTTATTTTTTTTTAAAAATTATCATTAGTTTGTTTATTTATTTATATGTGTGAGATAGATACAGACAATAGATAGATAGATGATAGATAGATAGATGATAGATAGATAGATAGATAGATAGATAGATTGATAGATGATACAGTAGGTGTGTGTGCCTACACATGTGACTGTGGAAGCCAGATGTCAATATTAGCTGGCTTCCTAAGTTGTTCCTCTCTTTAGTTTTCTGAGACAAGGTCTCCAACTGAGCCCAGAGCTCACTGATTGGTAGACTGGCACCACAGTAAACCTCTGGGATCCATCAGGCTTTGCCTCCCAATGCTGCATTCACGGGTGTGTAGTGTGAATTGTGGCATTTACATGGATTCTGGAGATCCACACTTAAGCCCTCAGGCCTGTGCAGCAAGCAGCTTACCCACTGAGCCATCTCTTCAGCCTTGCTTTTTGAGAATTCTTAGTACTAAGCTGTCTTATTTGCAGAGTAAATTGCAGTGCATAAAAATGTTTGCATTCATTTTCTTCTCCTGCTTGATCTTTCTGAAGTAGATAATGTTGTTTTCCACTTATGGAAGCCAAAGTATTCACAGCGTGAAGGGCGTGATCAAAGTCATGATGACGGTTAAAGGTCTAGGAGGGGACGTGGGCATGGGCTCCTTTCTCTATTCAAAGTTTATGATCATCCATTGATGTAGATTCCTGAATCTCAGACAGGAGCTAGATTTGGTCTTATTTTTATAGATTAGTTTAATCAGAAACAGATCATTTACTGTTGTTTGTTTTGCCCTGTTTCATTTACTTATGAGTTCTTCTGAACTGCCGTTTATAATTCATCATGATGAATCCTTCTCTCTTACACCCTGGGTGGTGGCACACTTCAAATAACAAAGGAAAAAGCTGACTCTTCCATGAAGTCATTCCTGCTCGTGATTTGTCTGAGTTATGCCCGCTGTAATGTGGTACCTGGCACTATTTCAATAGCAATAATGTCTCTTCAATTACAGCTGCCTAAAGACCACTTAAAGTCTCCACTGCTCAATGCGTCAAGGTGAGGCTGTAGGGAAGAGACATCAGTCATGGTTGTCTTCGCAGGGGGCAGGTGAACACTTCATGTACCAC